CATGGTTCAAGAAATCAATCCCAAGGACGTTAAGGAACAAAGATGAGGAAGAATTTGCATTTTCCTCAGATAAGGCTTGTAAAGAAGTTGAGACAATGAACGCGTTTCATATCATTTCGTTATCTGAAGGGTTTGATTTGTCACCATTGTTTGAAGAGAATAAGAGGAATGAGAAAGAACAGATGAGATTCGCGACTACTAGGTCAGCAAGTTGTGTGATATCTAAGCTTGAGGAGGTAGCAAAGACATCAAATTTCAGCGTAAAAAAGAGTGATTCATGTGTAAGGCTACAAGGACAAGTGATTGGGAGAAAAGGGAAATTGGGAATTTCTGCTGATATATTTGCTGTGACAAATTCATTTCTAGTTGTGGAAGTGAATAAAGCTAGTGGTGATACATTGGAGTATAATCAATTCTGCAGTAAAGAGCTTAGACCAGCACTTAAGGATATTGTTTGGACATCATCTACACATACTTGAAGGATAAAATAAGGTGTAGATTTGGGAATTTTATTTTGTTGTGTTTGTTTTCATGTTGTTAATTAGATTTTTATTAATTTAGAGGCTCAAGAAAGTTTCTTGAATTGTTGAATGAATGTCTTTTGTGTTTGTTTTGCAAATTTGCATCTACTTTTAGTTGTTGTTCTAAAATTGTGTGTTGTTCTAAAATTGTGTGTTTGTTGTAAATTGTGATGTTTCTTTTGATTCAAATTTGAGTGTTAGAATCAATTTTTCTACATCTTGATGCAACTTGCAAGTAGGGATAGAGCTAGAAGGCAACACAAATACAACTACAATATATTCAATGTAATTCCATAAATGATCTGGAAAGGGCAGTGTGTGCGCGCATTTTTACTCCTATATATCTTCAAAAAGTAGAGAGATTGTTCTCGATAGAAGCTCAGCTCAAGATTGAGATGTTGTTTATGATAAATCATTAATCTGAATGTGACATAGTTATCAAAAACATGTATACAAATTAGATTTAAAATCTAATTATGACCACATAATAATATCATTAATTTAAAATTTAGAACTCATAAATTCAAATCCGCTTTTGGGGAAAGTGTTTGTTACAAGTCCAATGAAAACACTTCTCTGGTAGGCAAATGACCATAGATCATATTGTCTTCTTTGTGATGTTGAGAGGTGCAAATGACCATAAATCATATTGTGTTCTTTGTGATGTTGAGAGGTGCAATGTATTTGTTTAACCTTAGTATTGTCCACCAATGTGATAGTTAAACAAATTAGAAATAATATTAATATTTTAGGATGAGGAATTAAAAAATGGAAGGATAAAATTATTGTGAGGCAGGTGTGTAGTTGTTGTTAGTCTTTTCTATTCATCTCAAAGAAGAGTGGATTTATCAAATTAGAATAGACTACCACCTTCTTTTAATTTGGTGTCCTTCGTTATCTATTGCCATTTGATATCTATTTTAAAGTTTCGATAAAATTTGATCGTGTTATATAAAGATCACTAAAAGGAAAAGTAAAAACTGAGTTATTCTTGTTCAATAGGCGTCAATTGATATTTCTTTGTCGATAACTAACATGGTATTTGTGTGTTGATTGAGATCTCCAAAGTTTGTTTTTTTTATATATTATTCTTATTTTATGTATATATATATTTGCAATGCGAGTTGATAATGTTTTCATACAATTAATCAAATAATGTACATACAACTTAAGTAAAATTTTATATTGAGATTTTTTTTCTAATATGGTAAACCAAACCAATCGATAAAAATTAAAATGTAAAGAATCAACTATGCTACTCGATTGTTTCAAAAATATTATTAAAATATAATACTTTACTCATATTTTAAAAAAGTTCGAGCAACATTGAAACTAGAATTGACCATCAACTTGGGTCATTGAAGACATATGTAAGATGTAGATTTAGATCTATCTACATGGAGATTAAAATTGCATAAAAATAATCAAGTTCAATATTTATACATTAAACATCATGTGCATGAAAAATATATCGAGACTAATAATACTTATAATTAAATATTGAATAAATTTAATCTCAAATTTTATAATGTAATAACCTCCCTAATCCCTACAAAAGCGGCTTCTTAGCCAAGAGAAGCTTGATTAATTTAGATTCGCATCGAAAAGTTCTACTTTAAGGAATAAAGCGTTTTTTACCAAAAACAACTGCATATCCAAGATTGGAATGTAAAAATTATGATTGAAAACAAAAAGGTACTTATCACACTGTCACCATTGCTTGAATTTCCAAAATCACATATATTTTTTTTAATTTTTAGCTTCAAATACTTGTCCATGTGGGCTCTCATGAGTCATTTCTTTTGTCCTTCTACTATGAAGTACCAACTTGTTTTTTTACTACATTTGCTGTTTTTCTTTGGAGTGACTTGTGTGTTATCAAGGAAAAAGATAAATACTTTACTATTTTCTGCTTTCCCTATAAATAAAATATAAATAAGTATATAAGAAAATGGTAACTACGAAAATGCCACTTTCAAAATTATTGTCTTCCAAGAAGATGAAATGAAAATATCTCCATGTTATTTTATGAAGGTTTCTGAGTGTTTAATTCACCATGTCATCAGAAGGTCACACATTCGATTATAGAACTAATCTTTTGGAGAAATATAAAGTAAACTTGTGTACAATTTTTTTATAGAAATATATGATAATGTTGTTTACAATAGATCCTTGAAGTCCGATTTCATAACAAGGAGCTTAGCACACTAAACTATGTATTCTTTTTATTAATTTTTTTATTTTAGTAAAAGCAATTTCAAAATTATTTTTATTACAATTTTGATATTGATTTTATACCATACTCAATGTGGATTAACAATAGCAGAAATAAAATAATATGATCAATATATTTTTTTCCAAAGCTCTTCCCCGAAAATTCCTAAAGAAAACCAAGCTTACTCCCAATAATAATACCTAAGGTCGTGTCCAAAAATGTCGTAAAAATGGTGAGATTGTATGTACCACACTCCCAACTCTCTACGGAGGGTTCCATAAAAGTTTCGCAAAAAATTCATTCAGAAGTCATATCATCAAAATATTTATGGGCTAAAACACACAAAAAAACAAAAAAACTGAGAAAATCGCCTAATTCTTATAAATTGGCCTTTAATGCCTAAAGTTCACTAAAAAAATAATGTAACAGTACATACTGCTCCCCCAACTGAAGATGGGAAGGTCAGACTTCTACTATCCCGAAGTCTCCGATAGAAAGAATGATTGATTGCTTGAATGCTGGGCCATCTACTCGCGAAATGTGTGGCGTGATAAGATAAGGACCACTAGGGGCCCGGTTTGTCCTTCTTCCCGCAAGAACCCTAACCCTTCATTCTATTCCATACAGTCTTGGTAGGACATCTATTTCTCAATTTCATAATATAGTAGACTAGGAATCCAGAAAACTTCAAATCAAGAGGTCATACTCCGCCAACTATGTTTGGTTAAAGCTTTATCCCGGTTTGTTTCATTTGCTTTCAAGTCTAGTGGAATCACTATGATAGCTTTCATTTGCTTTCAAGTCTACGAAGCTTTGCTTCTCCCCCTGTAGTCGTAATACTCGGCTTGTCGCTACTTTGATTCAAAAGGTAACCGACGGTTCCCGACTTTCTCTGCTTTCCGCAACCGTAACCACTTGTCATTCCAATTACTTCATCCATAAACCTTTTTTTTATTTCAAAATAGTGATATGCTCTAAAAAAGTAAAGGAGAAGCTTCCATTCTAGAAGCGGTAGCTTCCCGCCTCCCTCGGGGTGAGAAGTTCCCTTCCCTGACTAAGGCAATTGCCAATAGTTTCTATTGAAAGACAGGCTGACTCTTTAAAAAGGGCGCCCTCCTAATCTCATTTTGATAGGAAGAGATATTGATAATTATCCCACAAACCGGAGTGACTTCACTACCTGAAGAAAGAAAGCTGCTTCGGCAGGGTCGAAGAAGACGTGTTAGACACCGAGGGGCCGGGAAAGAGGAAATCTGGTCACGAGTTAAAAAACAAAACTCCGTTTCCAGGAAATTGCGCACTATGACCTCGTACTCCCTGGGTGAAAGTCCCTCTCTACGGAGGGTTTCATAAAGGTTTTGGAGAAAATTCATTAGGAAGTCATATCACCAAAATATTCATGGGCTAACACACAAAAAACTAAGAAAATCGCCCAATTCTTGTAAATTGGTCCTTAAATGTCGAAAGATCACTCTAAAAATGATGAGATTGTACGTACTACTCCCCCACGTCCCTACAGTGGGTTCCATAAAGGTTTCGTAAAAAAATTGTCCAGAAGTTATATCATCAAAATATTCATGTGCTAACACATACGAAAAGTTGATAAACTCACCGAATTCTTAGAATTTGGCCCCTAAATGTCCAAAAATCACCTTGAAAATTGTGAAACTCTATGTACCGAAAAAATGTCCCCACAGATTCTTTGCAAAAGGTAAGACCAAACAAAACTTGAATCCAACTTTAAAATTCTAAATAATTTTTAAAACAAATTCATGATGAAATGCCCACTTAATTTGATGGATTGTGGGTCGGATATAATTGAAAATTCATTCAAAATAAATTAATTTAAATTCATCTCAAATTATTACTAGTAAAATTGATTTTGAGAATTTCATTCAAATATAACTAGGAATAAACTTAATAAATTAAAAAAGTGGAGAAATATATTTGACACTTTTCCCAAAAAAATAAATAAATATAGACGACACACACAAATCACAACAAAGGTTTTGCAACTCTCTTTGAACAAAAACTCTTCTCTTTTCTTCATCTTCTCAATCGGGCGGCTGGCTAGGTATGTCTTCTTTTCATCAACTTTTCTCCATCTCTATGCCTTTTTTCTTCGATTTTTTTAAAATCTAATCTGAGCTTTCGTTTAAAATTGTGTTTAGTGATTCGATAATTGTAATTTTCTAAAGATTTTAAGTTATTGGGTTTGTGATAGAGAGTTGTTTAGTTGTAAAATAGACTCACATAAATAGTGTTTGTTATGTGACTCACAGGAAACATTTTGGCATTTTCAATTGTTGCCACAATCGAGTTTTTGCTTAGCTAGCTCTTGAATTTTTGTTTTCATGGATTCACCGTCTGATTCGTAAGTTACTTTGAGCTCTTTGTCCATTTTTCTTTGGTATATCAGCTTGTTTAAATGCAATTTGATAAATAAGCTACTATAGTGTATTTCTTAAACTATATTTGCTCGGACTCTCCAAAAATGTTACTGCACCCGTATCGTGTCGGATCCTCCAAACTTACACTATTTTTGGAGGATCCAACAAGCACAACAACAACAACATAAGTGAAATCTCACAAAGTGTGGTCTGGGAAGGGTAGAGTGTATGCAGTCGTTAGTCCTTATAACTACCTCGAATAGGTTATTTTCGAAAAACCCTTGGCCCAAGAAAATTGAAGTAGTAATAAAACGAAAAGAAGGTAGAGGGGGAGAAACATGATAACGAATAGCAAAGCAGTAACAACTACAACAAGGTGTGATCACCTAAACAGTGTAAATTATAGATGAAGAGTCTGAGCAACATAGTTGTTATATAAACTTCGTATCTCTTGTGGTTTCTTTGTGAGTTGAATTTGAGTTTCTTTTTGTTGAAGGCAAGTTATAAGGAGGAGAAAAGGACCGGCATTTGAATATTTGGTTCCGCTTATTTATGCACCGGCTCTTCCTCTCAGTAAGTTTTGATCCTATCCAATTCTTGCTTATTTAATTCAATAAATATTATTATTTTATAGATTATCGTTTGTTTGTGAAATTTTGGATGGATATGCTATTTATGTTTTATACCTCATTGCATTTGATGTTTTTGGGTTTTCAGTTAGGATAGCACTGAGGCACAAGCCAGTTCTTAGGGATCGTTTGTTCTATGGTGTCTTGGCTGGTGCATTTGCTCATGGAACTTATTTAGTGTATCCTTTATCTCATCCATTAAACTATTGCTTATTCTTACCTGCACGCCCCACACCCCCTAAATTTTGTGTAAGTTTATGTTTTAATAGAAGCTTACGGTACACAAAATGAGTTCAAAGGTATCTTCTGCCATTTGCTCTGTCTAACTTTCCTCTTCCCAAATCATATTGTCAATGTCTTAACTATGTTTTTTACCTCCGACACTGCCACGTAGATATCAATTTTAGTGTCAATAGGATCCATTTTGACCTACCAAACTCAAAGTGAAACACAAAACAGACCTTTGTTTTAAGATTATAGCTTCAAGCGCGATGAAAAACATTTCATAGGTTGGTGGTGTATGATATTTACATGTTAATGCAAGCAAATTTTAGCAGAGAAAGTAGTACGGGGAAGTCTATAATCCTAAAAGAACTTTGCTTCCTCCTTTGAAGCAAATACTTCTCATGAGAAAATCTCTCGATCAGGCTATGTCAACCAAACACCATAAAATGATTAGATGAAGGAACAACTCTATAATACCAAATAGAACCTTTCACATACCTATATCCGTGAACGAAGCATCTAATAACCCCTTTGTACGATTATTCTAATTCCTTTGTATTTCTGTTATGGTAGTTATTATTACAATAAGAGGAGGTGAAGGAGGATAAATAACTAAGAGCAGTGGCAGGTGTGTTTCACTGTGTCCTGTCATAAAGTTGATTTTCAACTTTGGTTTAAGTTATTGAAAAAGAAACATTTGTAAACAATGATAAAATATGCTTTGTGCTTAGTATCTAAGATGTTTATTCTAATTTCATGTTGTCCATCAATTGCAAGTATTCCTAGCACAACGAGTTCATTGCTGTTTTTGCATCGATCTGAATGCTGACACCTAAAAACTTTCTTTTGGCATGTCTGGATACTTATATCTAATACTATTACAGTGGTTATTTTAAAACAGTTTTCGCGTTTAGTATCTAAATATGATGGTTGCAAAGCAATTTAAATTTGTTTAGTCCTGATAGTTGAGGAGGGATGCATGCTTCTGACTTTAAAATTTGTCATTAACCATGATGTGATCAGTTTAATGAACATACTGGAGAATGCTATTAATTTGCGTATTTAAAAGCAATAGGTACTCTAGTCTGAGAAGCAAAAAAAAGGTGCACAAGGGTTGAAGATAATGATGTTCTCAGATTTCATTTCTCTCATTTTTTTAGGATAACGAAGTTGTATCAGAGGAAGTAGAACTTTTGGTCCTTTCTTTTATAGATAGATATCTTAGAAATGTTTGGTACATCATCTTCTTATACTAGACCTTTGGCTATTCAAATCCTATAATTCTTGTTATGAGGTTTTCCGTGTACCTATCATTTACAAAGTCTCTCATGCAAAATCTAATCAAATGCTGTCATACGGTGTTCAGACAGTTTTATGCTGCAAATAAGCTTTTAGTTGTAGTATGAAGATTACGTACTCTTAACTGTCAACCATCTCATAGCTTTCATAATCCTCTTGAATTCCTTTCGGTAAAGCTGAATGGTACTCATGTTCAGGACATCTTTTGAACTTAAAAAGTGAGCACCAGGAACTCCTAGCAAATACTTGTGTAGACTCAGAGCTGTTTACTGTATGTAGCTGCTGCACTTTTGCATACCAGAACATGCAAGTCATTTCTACACAGAGAACTAAGCTGTAAAGACTCTGCTATAAAGATAGTGTGGAGATCTTTTTGTTTTGCAAAGGATCCAAATATATAATTTTGCCTGCAGATTGAGCTTTATGCATAAGTTTGCTGTGGGACTCGTGAAACAATAGCTATTTGAGATTTATTTGGTTGTTATTAGGTATTCTTTTATCAACTCTTACCATAGATAATGAGAACCACATTTTTTTATGCTTTGAATGCAGAGTTTTGAGAAAGTAGGCCTTTCATTTGATTATCATGTTTGTACGCTTGCTGACTGCAGCAAACAATAATCAAATTATTATTCGTTGTTTATCTAGAATTGTAGTCTCAAATAGATAGACTTCCATGTTGGAGGTCTCAAGTTCGAAACCCCTTGCCAGCGAAAGCAAGGGGTTTGTCTTCTAGGTCGAGCTCGTCGCATCAGGCTTGCCTAGTGCGGGTTACCTCTCCTATGTGGTTTGCGAGCTATTACATAGGAGTGGAGATTTTACCTTGTTCGCACCCAAAGGGTAGCGGCTGCGTGTTTCCCTTGTCATAAAAATAAAATAGATAGAAATGGAAAAGTTCTAGAAATAGTATGGAGTAATTCTAACATTTAAGTAGATGCATATAAAAATATATACATTTCTTAGTCACCCTTTTACCTAGGGGCAGACCTAGTAAGAGAATTATAGGTTACCGTTTTACTTGTGTCTACTAAATTAAGTTTTGTTAACATGAAAATAAACACTGGTTGGGCTTATCATGAGATATACTTGTGTATTGGAACTGTACATTGTGTTCTTTTTCTTTCACCTTTGGCGTGTTCTTGTGTTTTATATGGTCTGTTATTAGGCAAATCAATAATATTATCAATTTACCATATGTCATATATCTATTTTCTTTCTTTGTTCTTTCTTGAGCCTAAGGTCTATCGAAAACAACCAAGTAGGGGTAAGGTCTGTATAAACTTTACCCTCCACAGACCTCACTCTATGGGACTACATTGAGTATGTTGCTCTATTTTCTTTGTTCTGGGGCTGCGATTGTTTGTTTTCCTTAACTGACAGTTCAGTACAGATTTATATGATGCTGAGAGCAAGTGATGGATATTCCGACCTGGAGATTTCTCTTCTATAGCAATTTTCCCTGTGCTCAAACAAGATGCAACTTGATATTCTGATGACATTTCTTATACTACTATATTTTCATGCGATCGTGCTTCTATCTTTTGGTAAGGGGTAGACTAAATACACATTTAAACATTTTGCTCTTTGGAATCATTACTTTGTTTGAGAATGTTTCTGAAACATATGTAGCTGTTGTAACCAAGGAATCCCGTAGTTGCTCAAGGTTTCATCGATAAGTTTCCTTAATTTCGAATGTTGTACCATATCTGTAATGTATTTCTTTATTTTTTTTAGTTTTGGTGCACATGACACACGTTAGACGTGACAGACTCCTAGACTGGCAAGTTTCTAAAGGAGTGTACATGACATCTTAGATGAATCTCACGTTGAAATGGTAGAGGAAAGTGAAGAGCTTTATAAGGCATAGAAATTGATGATGGTGTAACCAAAAGACAAATATGTAAAGTCTGTCAGGCTAAAGCAGATAATATATGTCATGGGTTTGGTCAGTGAACCATGTGACTCAACATTATTGTGGTCCATCATCATAGCCAGAAACTAATCATCCAACATTATTTATGTAGGGCAACTAGCCAAATTCTACCAAGTAATGTAAAAAATGAAAAGTGTCATTTTCACAAATCAGACTATTCCAATGCTAGAATAACAAGTGGCATATGCATTGAGAACGGGAATTGAACTCTATTAGTTTGGCAATTCAATACTAGAATCATTAATATTTAGTTGAAACTTGAGGACTAGAATTGAACTTTATGAGGTTGGTAGCTCAATAGAAGAATTTTGTTGAATCTTGAGGAGGACGAAAATTAAACTTTATGTGGAAGAGGATAGTATTTGAATAATAGAATAAATAATATTTAGAAGAAATTGAGAAAGGAAATTAAACTTTACAAGGTTTTTGACCTATTTTTGTCTTTACTTAAAATTAAGTGTTATAAGTACTTTTTTGGAGTTAAAAGTTGTTTTGGTTTAAAAGCAATTAAAATTGTTCAATTCAAAGTTACCCTCTATCACAAAAAAAAAATCATTTATTATGGCATATAAATAATAAATTTATGGATCAATTAAATGAACGGTGCAGGTTTAATTCAAAGCTAATCAGAATTTTAATAATTAAGAAAGAAAATGATTGAATTATAGAATTAAGTATAGCAATGTCCTTAAACTACGTACTAAGAGCAGTGGCAGGTGTGTTTCACTATGTCCTGTCATAAGTTATTGAAAAAGAACATTTGTAAACAATGAAAAATTATGCTTTGTGCTTAGTATGTACCTAGGGGCAGAGCTAGTAAGAGAGTGGGAAGGGTCTCTCCCCCTCGTAGGAAAATTATAGGTTACCGTTTGACTTGTCTACTAAATTAAGTTTTGTTAACATGAAAATAAACACCGGTTGGGTTTATCATGAGATGTACTTGTGTATTGGAACTGTATCTTGTGTTCTTTTTCTTTGCTCTTTCTTGAGCCAAAGGTCTATCAAAACCAAGTAGGGGTAAGATATGCATACATTCTACCCTTCACGGACCTTACTCTGTGGGATTACATTGGGCGTGTTGTTCTATTTTTTTTGTTTTGGGGCGGCCGCCATTTCTTAATTTTTTTTAGTTTGGGTGCACATGACAGACTCCTAGACTAGCAAGTTTCTAAGGAGTGCACATGACATCTTAAATGAATCTCACGTTGAAATGGTAGAGGAAAGTGAAGAGCTGTATCTGACATAGAATTTGATGATGGTGTAACCAGAAGACAAATATGTAAAGTTTGTTGGGCTAAAGCGGACAATATATGTCATAAGTTTGGTTAGTGAGCCATGTGACTCAATATTATTGAATACTATTTGCCAAAATTTATCCTACAAGTTAAAATGATCAGTATGTGACTCATCTATCTACAAGTTGTGAGGCCTAAAAGTTAAGAAGAAGAGACTCGAAAGACATCAAATATTGTGGTCCAACACCATGGTCAGAAACTAATAATCCAACATTATTTATGTAGGGCAACCAGCCAAATTCTACCAAGTGATATAAAAAATGAGTAATGTCATTTTCACAAATCAGACTATTCCAATGCTAGAGTAAAAGGTGGCATTTGCATTGATCACTAAACCTTTGTTGAAAACACAAGGTCGGGAATTGAACTCTATCAGATTGATATCTCAATAATAGAATCACTAATATTTAGTTGAAACTTGAGGATCGAAATTGAACTTTATGAGGTTGGTAGTTCAATAATAAAATAACTAGTATCTAGTTTAAGCTTGAGAACCATAATTGAACTTTACGAGATAGAAGAGAAGGACAAAAATTGAACTTTACAAAGAGGAGGATGGTATCTAAATAATAGAATACCATAATATCTAGTGGAAACTTTAGAATGGGAATTAAACTTCACGAGGTTTTTGACTTATTTTTATCATTTTAGCTTAGAATTAAGTGCTTATAAGTACTTCAACACTTTAAAAGTGCTTTAAAATTGTTTTAGCTTAAAATTAAGTATTTAAAATAAATCAATTCAAACAGGCTCTAAATTACCCTTTATAACAAAAATTCATTTATAATGTCAAATAAATTAAAACAAATGAACTAATAATTATAACAATCATCCCCTACCAAACCTGTCTTAAAAAACAACTTTATGAGTCAATTAGAAAAAAGAGTAGTTTGATACGTAAAATATTCCATATTAATAGAATTCGAAGAAGGATCGCACCCTATAGCATATTTATGGGTCAAATTATATGACATTATAATATAATATAAATTGGATTCATGTATTAGCTAGACCTTGAAAATGACAATCCAATTAAGGAGACAAATAATCTCCATTATTATACTTATTACTCAATGAAACAATGATACGTTGTACTTTGAAAACTAAACATGATGTTTACATTTAATCATTTTCTTAAGACTTCTAAAAATATCGAAATATTCACGAATTTATTAAATTAAATTAATAGAGAAAGTGTATAGGTGTAAGACCAAACTTCTTTTGTGGTCAATAATAAATTTTGGTGAGATATTTAGATCAGATGTGATCATTTTTATTGATAAATATATTATGAGCTTAAGTTTAGTATTAACAGCCCATTATTTATATTAATTAATGTTTGACTATTACTTTGGAGGTTTTTTAAATGAACGGTGCAGGTTTAATTCAAAGCTAATCAGAATTTTAATAATTAAGAAAGAAAATGATTGAATTATAGAATTAAGTTTGGCAATCTTCTTAAACTACTATCAATTATTATGGAGCTAAACCAAGTTAGTGTTCTATTTAATTATAGAAATCTGTTCATTTTTGGTGAACAGAGATACTCGATATTTATGTTAATGAGAGGTGACAAATACCCTAAAGATTGGTCAAGTTGTACTCAAATTTACCAAAATACCATGATTATATAATTTTTTAAAAATAAAAATAATAGCTCCTTTGAAGTCGACAAGCTAGTATACCAAGAATATAGAGTAGTACGAAATTTCGCTAAGATAACACTTATTTTGAGACGAGACAGTGCTTTCTTGTGTTCAAATGTTGGTAAATATAATCTTCACAACACTCATGCACCCATTTTCAGAAAGCAAATGACAAAACAATTGCTAAGCCAAAACAAGTGTGGTTTGCTTTAGTGGTTGAGCAGCTTCACTATCAATCGATAGGTTGAGAATTCGGGTCTCGTGGAAGAGTAAGTGATATACTACTGATCGGGTGGAATGGGAAAAAAATAAAATCTTCCATGCCAAAGATTGCACACCGAAAAAGT